CTGTAAACATGTTAATTTCTGCTTTAGAGTTTAGCATTTTCACATGAGGGTGTATGAGGATTGACTGGCCTCCGGAGTCAGCCTCAAGTGGTCATTAGGGGAACTGCACTTCTCTGTTGGCTTCATTTTTCTAGCCCACACATGTTAAAAGTGCATGTTAATGTGGCCCTCTCATACTTTTTCTTTAATCAGTAATCTACTTTTCTTTCCTGTGTAGTTGTTAGTAGCTTTAGTGGCCTCATTTTCCTACAGTGATAAGTGTTTTATTTTTATCTCTCATTATCTACAGTATGCTGAATAAGAACATTTCCTCGTTCCCCATTCTCACTCATGAACATGTGTTTGTGCCTTATATAATATGCACGCCAGTGTGTTAGCATTTATTTATTCAATATCAAACTGCAGCGTAAGCTGGGGAAGTACGCTGACAGCACATTCATGTTTCCATGAATGAGTCATAAATCTTAGTGTGGGGTGTTTTTTGTTGTTTTTTTTTTTAATCCGAAGCAGGTTTTTGTGCTTGTTTAGCGACCTGTAACTAATGATGCTGACTGGAAAACAATATATGAAGCAAACACTGACAACACTGCTTATTATAGTCAACACCTGCCTCATGCAAACACAGTATGTGGTAACAGTGTCTGATCCTACTGTAAATGCATTTGACCTAATTTAATAAGAACACCTTGTGCTGTGTGGTTCTTATTACTTCATTTAAAAAAGCCTCAGTGTGGTTTTGTGTTGGAGAACAAGTTTTGACGGTTCAACGTTCCTCACAGCGTTTGTTTAAACCTGCACCTCTGATGACCTCTTGACTTCATGTGCTCAAGCTGCAGAGAGGAGATGTTTTACAGAACATATGGCACATACACATCAGTGCTGCGCAAAGACAACAGGCCTGCTTTGCATATACTCCTCAGCTAAGTAAATGTACTCGCTGCTCTTAAAATGCAAATTTGAGGTGTTTACACTTTACTTAGCCTGAGAGTTTCCACTTTAAACCTCTTTATACTTCTACCATGAAGAGAATACTGCACCTTTTACTTCACTTTGTTTATCTGTAGAGCTCTAGTAAGATTCTTCATATAAAACACATGATGGCTGTGCTGCATTCTTATAGATTAAATTACCCAACAGTGTATTAAGTTGTTATAATGAGCTCCACTTTGACTTCAGCAGTAAAATGCTATTGATAAATGAATGCATTTGTAAGAGCAGTTAAAAGTATTGCTTTTTTTAAACTTAAGAATCTAAATGCTTCCCCCACCACTGTAATGTAGCTACTATATTGTAAATGTACTCGCTTTTCAAACAGCATTTAAAATCATTGATACATGAGTTGAAGTAAAACATCTGGGACTTTCTCGATATTGTCTGGCCTGGGAACGCCTCGGGATGACCCAGCTTCGGATAAGCTGTTAAAAATGGATGGATGGGCTTTTTCTCTGCACATACAAAACACGGTTCTCTCAAAGTTTGGTCACAAATTTGTTTAAATCTGTGTTTGTGATCACTTAACCAACATAATCTGTGATCCAGCCACCTGACAGGTGTGGTATATCAGCAGCAGGATTGTTACTCAGCTGTGCCTTGAGATGGTCGCAATAAAAGGCTGCTCTAAAATGTGCAACATAATGCTACAGATGTCACAAGTTTTAAAGGAGCGTGCCATTGGCGTGCTGACTGCAGGAACGTCCACCAGAGTTCTTGCCTGTGAATTTGACAGTACATCCAACCGGCCTGGTGAGCCAGCCCAGGACCCCTACAATCAGCACCTTCACCTGAAAGGCTGATGTGAGAGTTGGTTTGTATGACCAAAGTATTTCTACACAGTCAGAAACCGTCTCAGGGAAGCTCATCTCAGGGACTGGTCTCAGAGCATCTTTCAGGTGAAGATGCCGGAGCTCCTGGGCTGGCTCACTAGACTGATTATTGTGAAATTCTTGGAAATAACGTTGGAGACGGCTTCACGGGGGCACAGCTGCTCCTGCCGTCAGCATGCCAATGGCACGTTCCCTCAAAACTTGTGACATCTGTGGCGTTGTGTCATGTAATAATACTTTTAGAGCAGCCTTTTATTGTGATCATCCAAATATTAACAACTTTGTTAATACAGTTTGAGAGAATAACGTCTTTTGTGTGCAGAGAAAATGTCTTTAACTGATAGAAAATAGAAGCAAAAGAGTTGCAGTTATATTTTTGTTAAGTGTATGCAGACAATTTTTTATATAAAACTTCTCCGGCTGCGGAGAGAGCTGTGCAAAGTCTGACAAATTGCCTCAAGCGATGTCACTTGAGACAGTGTTGGTTGGGACTGAAGGCTACAGGTTCAAACTTTTTTTTAATGTTGCTGTGGAGTTAGAAACAAGTGAGACTGCTGTGGATCATGCTTCATCTCACCTTGAGGCTTCATTAGCTGTTACTAGCATAACACGCCTGAATCTCAGACCAAACCGTGGGTGCTTGAGTTGCATTGTGGGTAATATAGGCACCAGGTTTTGACGAGGAAGAAGAATCTATGGAATCTATGGAATTAAAAAAAAAAAAGGACAGAATTAAATGACCAAAATATTTGTGTCATTAATGAATTAGATTATTCCTTTAAGTACTCAAGAACACATTTACTATTTTGAGCACATTTGGTCATTGCTTTACTTTAATGACACAAATAAAGTTGCAATAATAAGTCAAATATTTGTTGCTTTTCTCTGCTTTATAGCTTTGTAAATGAAATATCTTTGAACTTTTGGACTGTAGGTCAAACAAATAATATGAAGTGTCCTCCAGAGCTTTAGGACATTGTGACGGCCATTTGTCACAATTATCTGACATTTTAAAAACCTAACAATAAATCAGTTAATCAGGAATTAATTGTTAGTTGCAGTAAAAGACACAAAACAATCTTTTGGTGTGAAAACACACATCCTAGTAGATTTTGTGCATAAATTTAAGTTGTGATTTGTGTACAGCTCACACCCACGCACACAGCATCTGTATCATAGCGCCAAGAGGTGAAGTTGAATCAGACAATAAGTTATAAATCACCAAGACATTTCATTATAAATGTTTAATTTTACTTTATAACAGTGACATTCAAAAGTGAAGCCCAAAATATTAAACAAAAAAAAAAAAACAGTCCATGTCTGTTATGTTCAGTCAACCATTGGTCAGTTTGCCCTCATGTAAATAATATAATGTAACTAGAATTTAACATTGGCACATTTTTGTTAAAGGTCCAGTGTGTAGGATTTGAGGGCATCTATTGACAGAAATTATGTGCAACATTCACAATGTTTTCATTCATTTATAATCACCTGATAATAAGAATTGTTGTGTTTTTGTTACCATAAACCCAGTTTAGACTAAAGATTTGCAACAAGTCAAGTTACAAATTGTTCTGAAAACCTGCAGGTGTACACAAGTGCAACTGAGTGAGACAGTGTGTCATCTTCATAGGAACGACTCTCTGACGTTCAACTCTAACTTCAAGCTCTTAGGTTTATTTTGTAGCTGAGTATTATTTGTGGCTTCATAAAATAAAATGAATGAATGAGGATAGTGAAAGTGAGATATTTGTTACAGTTGCATCTCTTGTAGTAATAAAACAGCAAAGACAGACAAATGCCACTAAATCATTCACACTAGACCTTTAAACTGACAGTCATGTTTTAAATTAACATGCCCTAATACAATGATTTGTATGACATCTGAGGAATTAGCACCCTGCAAATGACATTACGTACGTAAAGTTGGGTAGGGTTAGGTTTAGAAAAGAAACATGGTGACCATGTGCCTTAAAATAACTTAAAGTTCAGTTGGTTTCAAACAGTTCCAAACATCAGTCTCCTGGGGGAAGGTCTTGAGTCTTGTGACCCTTCAACTCCGCAACCTGCCTCCTTATGAGAACTATTTCCTTCTTTACTCCTGTCAGCACATTGTTTATATGATCTCAGCCTTCTTGATTACATGGCTTATAAAAAAATTGTAGGTACACCTACAAACATCCATCCGCATTGATGACGTAGACGCGAATCTGTTACTGCTCTGTCAGCGCCCCTAAATTTGTACAAAATTTATGTTCTTATGTCTATTTTACAAATGTTGGTGATGCTTTTCGTGTTTGGCTTTGGACAGCAGTAATGTGTGGCCACGAATCACTCATCAGGATAGGGAAATAAACTCACTGGGCTTTAAACTGTCCTCCTGCCGACTTCTGCTAGCTAGCTAAGTAGGGTTTTCAAATGTACACATCAGTGAACATTGAAGAAAGACGGACATTGCACCGGCTGAACTAGCATCTTGCTAGCCATTGTACAGACGTTGGAAGATAAACTGAGCGACTTTCGTGCCCCATCAGTTTCCAACAGGATATCAGGAACTGTAATATTCTGTGATTCACTGAAACTTGGCTAAAACCTGGACAGCGCCATTCAACCAGGTGACTCTTTATATGCTGAGGGGGCATGTCCTTTATGGTCATTAAGGACTGGTGTGACTGTGGGAATGAGAAGTGTTGTCCCGTGCCTGCTGTGGATCACTGCTCTATGTTGTTCAGAGGTGGCTGCAGCTGACACCTTGTACCCTGTATAATTCCAAGTGATTGATTGAAAACAATACATAAGAACAGCCTGTTTTAATCCTTAGTCTAATCCAAGAAAAACATCCTACTTTATGTCGCAGAAAAACATCTGTAACTCAGTAATAATTTCACAGCAAGCAAATGCTCTAGTCGGGCAAGGTGGACAAAAGTACCGCAAAAAACAAATACAAAAACACATTAAATAAACAAACTTTAAATCTCATCTTCTGTGAGATTAATTATTACTGACAGTAAGTACCGCCCTGAATAACTGTGCATCATAACAACTCAACATTGTAATTTCACCGTGACATTTTAACTGAAGGGTTGATTAAAGTGAATCATTGCCCAACCCTCTGCACAGTTGGCTTTGAAAGTATAAACATGCATGGTGCCAATATGACACAAGAAGACAGAGGCACAATGCTACAAGTACATTTTATGGCAGACCAGGTGTTCAATGCATCAAGTGTACCTAATACAGTGGATTCTGAGCACACCTTAAGAGTAACAGGATGTTAACCTTTTAAACCCCATTTAGTGGCATTAAAATCCACTTTTTCTTGTATTTTTTAATAAAGATACAATTTGTATCAACCGCATACAGCCTCTAATTACCCAGTTCACAGAGGCAACTTACAATGTAACATAATTTAAAAAAGGCATTTGAATACAGGTGGATACCACAATACATAAATACACAAACTCATGTTTATCTTTTCAGTCTTTCCACTGAAAGACGAGGGTTTACACCAGCGCTACTTCATCTCATTTCAGCGTCCTGTTCTGACTCTGCAACTTGAGGATCTCAGCAACCAACATCTGTGGATCCATCTGCTGAGGAAACATGTCCATGGCCGTGTCAACGAAGTGAGCACTGAAGATAGCGAGGAGCTTCTTTCTGACAATCTCTCTCTCCTCCCTGCCAGGACTCGCCCCCTGAGGAGGCTCCCAGTGCGAGCGCTCCCCTGGCAGGCTGCAGCCTGCTGGGGGATAAGCCCCAAACGGATCAGACCAGTACTGCTGCTGTGGGCGGCTGGGGACTCTGCTGTGCTGGAAATCTGTCGGCTGACTGTATGCAGGCATGCTGACAGGGTATGTACCATAGCTAGCGTAAGGAGGCGGGTAGGGAATGCTGAAATGCTGGTTGTGGTGGTGGAACGCTGGTGTGGGGCCCTGAGAAGTAAGGTCATGTGAGCAGCAGCTGCACGGAGGGCAATACTGTTTTCTCACACTGTGGGTGTGCTGAGAGCTCTTGTATGATGCACTATGCTTGTGATCACACACACTCCAAGGAGCATCCATCGGCTGACTGTCTATGGAGCCTAGACCAGAGTCCAGCTGCTCATGTGAGCTACTCTGCCGCACTGAGCTGTGGTCAGAGGCCGAGTGCTGGCTGCTCTTCTCCTTTCTAGATGTGGCCTTCTTGCTGGAGCGGTGACTCGCCTTCACCTGATTGTATTTATGGTCTTTCTTTAAGGAGCCACTTTCATGTCCCAGAGTCAGTTTCTTTGCCATATCCTCCACCAGTGAGAGGCTCTGTCCAGGCACAGGACTGGATTGTTTCACTGCAGTGGACGGTGGCTTGGCGCTCTCCCTAAGCTCATCGGCAACTGAGCGGTTGGACTGTTTGGCTCGCTCAGGATGGTGGAACTTACATTTGATTCCATAGGTACATTTCTTTCCTAAAGGAAGAATGAAACACGGATTATTTTCAAACAACAGTGAGTGTCTACAGTCGCTAACGATTGCTAACATAGGCCTGCTACCATGTAAATGTTCAGCTTTTTACTCTTACATTCTGAAAGAACTCAGTGGATCCAGTAGCTTTTGAGACATTCACTCATAACTACAAGCGTCAACGTCATGGTCACGTTTGAGGAAAAGCCAGGAGATCACCAAAATTATGAGGATTAATGCTGTGGGGGCCATGAATGCCTTTACCAAATTTCATGGCAATTCATCCAAAATGTGTTTAGATATGTCAGTTTGGATAAAGTGGTGGACTGACCCACACTGCCATTTACAGCAGCACGGCCAAAGGAGCACAGCAAATGTAATTTACCAGTAACAAAAAAAGTGCCAGGCCAGCCAGTAACTATATATCTATATATTTATATCAAATATATACTGTAGTAGTGATATGGAAGCCATCTCACCATAAGGGCACGGCTGTTTTTTTGGAGTCTTTGGAAACCTCCGCAAGAAGTTCTCCAGGGTCGGTCCATGACGGCCCAGAGGATCATCAGGAGGCATAAACCTGAGTTAGGGTAAAACATTAGTAAAAAATAAACATTACAGGATAAAAACAGCGAGGGAAGCCCCTAAATTTAGAAGGCAGAACTCACTTGTTATTAACAAAGGAGTACATGAGCAGCCTCTCTTCGATGAAGCGCTTCCACTCAGGCTTCTCTCCCTGAAGGTCCCGGTACATGTCGTTGGAAACGACGATGCCGTCAGACTCGTAGCCAAGCTTGACGATGAAGCAATCGTCGTTGCAGACCACCCGTTTGCCTGCGACACGTCTCGATGGCGTAAACACCAGAATCTTCCTCCTCTCCAGGTCTCGCAGAATGTGCTGATCTGTAAACCAAACATATAGTCACATCAGGCAACTGTTAAAGGTACTGTATGTAACATGTTACATGTATTTATTGTTTTTTACTGACACAAAACCTGTACACTCTGCAACAGAGAGTCCACTAATGTTGTGTTTCCGTTACATTTAGTAATAGGGTTGCTTTCTAACACAGACAAATTGCTAGCTAACAAACACAGCAAAATACTGCGTTGAGAGGATAACGTTAGCTAATTCACCCAGACTCCCGGGGCTGGTTTGGAGATTCATACAAGGTAGCTAAATTACAGCTGGCTGAGCGTCCAGCAAGCTAACTGTAATCTCAGCTGCTATTCTACATGGATCTGTGGTTGGTTGCTTTGTAACGTCAGGTGATAAAGTAATTTGCAAGCTAGTATTACATGGTAATTTATGATAATTATTATGATAATTATTAATATGATAATTTTCCAATATTCTATCAAGATGATGCCAGTCAATCACAGTCAGTCTCTTGTTAGTCACTGTTATGGCCGATCTGCAGCTACGAAGGATTCTGACAGTCGTTCACTGAGCGGCCTCACAGAGGCACTTGGTGGCAGCAGAAACATTACGGTTGGTATGACAAATTTGTTGCTGATTTCCATATCCAGCAGTTACAGAGCATCATTATTACTCATTCGGAGTTGAGTTTGTGTCCACCTTATGAATGTTAGTCCAATATTCACTCTCTTTTAGCTCTGTTTTTGGTCTCCACCAGCTCCTGAGGGAAACATCTGTCTGCTTAGCTGCCAAATGCTCCACATGTTTGCCAGCTAGTCTCTAACTGTGTTTGTCTGCTGTTTGGTGCTGAGCAGGTAGTACACTATGAGTTTTTAGAAGTCTTTTGCCTAAAATGTTTTGAGAGTGGTGGGAGTGAAACAAAAAATCTATTCACGAACCAGACAGCTAAACAATCACTACCTTTACATGCGCAAAATATTCTGCTTTTTGCCCTTATTCATCAGGTCAAAATATATAAAGAAAATGGCTGGAGTCGCTTGTCATTTTGCTTCTTTGCATCAAAACAGGATTTTTTGGTGGACTCTTTTATTCTTTCAACCGCTGTCTTGAAAAGGTCAGTGTTGCAATATTTGCGCATATCCAAAAACCTGTTGATTTCCAAGTCTTTCATCAAGTTGTGTGCTGTCTACATTACCCGCATCAAATTCAGAATACTGTCATGAATAATAGTGAAATGTAGTGTGCGTGTAAACAGAGCCAGTGAGCTGAAACTGACCATAAGGCTCCATGAAGCAGAAAGGAACCGCAGATTCAGGTGATAATCATCTGTTGGTTCATCACTTCATGCTACCCCTTTTAAATTGCCATTTTGTTTTTACATTGCCATAATAAAAAGATTAATTTTGCGCTTTCAGTAAACACTTTCACATCATACACAATCTAAATAGTAATTTTTGGGAAGCCACTGTTGCATTTTAATTTGGGTCTTTCCCATCAGACAGATTTGACCTGGTTAAATATTGATGAAGGGCCCTAAAAGTACATCAACAAACAGTTTATCAGCGTGAGCAATCTGTTCATAGAGCAAACAGTGCCTGCTTCCTGATGTAGGTTAGCTACATGCTGCAGATTACAGATTAAACTCGTTTACTTGTCATTTGGAAAGAAAAACCTACACAGGGTATTTCCAATTTGAGAGATACAGCTCACTCTGTTGCACCACAGCAAAAATCAAGCCCTGCTCTTCCAATGAAGCTGGTTTTCATTTTGCCTCTGACTTTGAAGGGTTTTTTTTTTTTTCAAAGAGGCTGCAACTAACAATTATTTTCATTATTTATTATCAATTTGCCAATTAGTTTCTCCAATAATCTTTTAGTTTATAAAATATCAGTACAGTAGAGTAAGGATTCCTGTGCCCACGTTTGTTTTATTTCTATATAACATGAAAAAACTGTACAAAATGGTCATTAAAACCTCCCAGAACACAAGTTCACATACAGTACAGGCCAAAAGTTTGGACACACCTTCTCATTCAATGCGTTTTCTTTATTTTCATGACTATTTACATTGTAGATTCTCACTGAAGGCATCAAAACTATGAATGAACACATGTGGAGTTATGTACTTAACAAAAAAGGTGAAATAACTAAAAAACATGTTTTATATTCTAGTTTCTTCAAAATAGCCACCCTTTGCTCTGATTACTGCTTTGCACACTCTTGGCATTCTCTCCATGAGCTTCAAGAGGTAGTCACCTGAAATGGTTTCCACTTCACAGGTGTGCCTTATCAGGGTTAACTAGTGGAATTTCTTGCTTTATCAATGGGGTTGGGACCATCAGTTGTGTTGTGCAGAAGTCAGGTTAATACACAGCTGACAGCCCTATTGGACAACTGTTAAAATTCATATTATGGCAAGAACCAATCAGCTAACTAAAGAAAAACGAGTGGCCATCATTACTTTAAGAAATGAAGGTCAGTCAGTCCGGAAAATTGCAAAAACTTTAAATGTGTCCCCAAGTGGAGTCGCAAAAACCATCAAGAGCTACAACGAAACTGGCACACATGAGGACCGACCCAGGAAAGGAAGACCAAGAGTCACCTCTGCTTCTGAGGATAAGTTCATCCGAGTCACCAGCCTCAGAAATCACAAGTTAACAGCAGCTCAGATCAGAGACCAGATGAATGCCACACAGAGTTCTAGCAGCAGACCCATCTCTAGAACAACTGTTAAGAGGAGACTGCGCCAATCAGGCCTTCATGGTCAAATAGCTGCTAGGAAACCACTGCTAAGGAGAGGCAACAAGCAGAAGAGATTTGTTTGGGCCAAGAAACACAAGGAATGGACATTAGACCAGTGGAAATCTGTGCTTTGGTCTGATGAGTCCAAATTTGAGATCTTTGGTTCCAACCGCCGTGTCTTTGTGAGACGCAGAAAAGGTGAACGGATGGATTCCACATGCCTGGTTCCCACTGTGAAGCATGGAGGAGGAGGTGTGATGGTGTGGGGGTGTTTTGCTGGTGACACTGTTGGGGATTTATTCAAAATTGAAGGCACACTGAACCAGCATGGCTACCACAGCATCCTGCAGCGACATGCCATCCCATCCGGTTTGCGTTTAGTTGGACGATCATTTACTTTTCAACAGGACAATGACCCCAAACACACCTCCAGGCTGTGTAAGGGCTATTTGACCAAGAAGGAGAGTGATGGAGTGCTGCGGCAGATGACCTGGCCTCCACAGTCACCGGACCTGAACCCAATCGAGATGGTTTGGGGTGAGCTGGACCGCAGAGTGAAGGCAAAGGGGCCAACAAGTGCTAAACACCTCTGGGAACTCCTTCAAGACTGTTGGAAAACCATTTCAGGTGACTACCTCTTGAAGCTCATGGAGAGAATGCCAAGAGTGTGCAAAGCAGTAATCAGAGCAAAGGGTGGCTATTTTGAAGAAACTAGAATATAAAACATGTTTTCAGTTATTTCACCTTTTTTTGTTAAGTACATAACTCCACGTGTTCATTCATAGTTTTGATGCCTTCAGTGAGAATCTACAATGTAAATAGTCATGAAAATAAAGAAAACGCATTGAATGAGAAGGTGTGTCCAAACTTTTGGCCTGTACTGTATTTGAATATCTTGTTTTATCTGTCCAGCAGCGGAAAACACAGAGATATTTGAGCTACAGTGACAAAGAAGAGTGAAAAGCAGCCAATCCTCATATTTAAGAAGTCATTTTTGTTTGAAAAAAGACCAAAAAAAAGGCACAACCTGCTTCTGTAAACACAAAAAAAGAACATAAGACTTTAAAACATCCAGACCATGCCTTGGTATTCAATTAACAATAAGAACAGTGTAATATGAGCCATGGTGGCAGGCCAAGAGGGAAGTAGGATACATCAAATTAGAAAATTAGTAAATTCCCTTACCTGTGATAGGAACATCTGGCCGGGGCTGCTCCTTCCTCCATGAAGGAACAAACACGGTTATTTCAGTATGGCCTCTCTCTGCGAAGAAGTTTACAGCCAACTGGATTCCCAGACAAGAGAAAACTTCCTTGTTCCCATGGCTGAATGAATAAACAGAAACCAGACAAAAAGGAATAAGAAACCAGAAAACAATCACGTGTTAACATTTAAAAAGGAATCCCTGAGGCAGCTCAGAACAAAGACTGAGGTGTCTTTGATAATAATAAACTTGTTAAAAAAACAAGTTTATTATTCTTCAACAGGTTGAGCTTGGTGATTTCATCATTCAACACACTAAGGCGGTGCAGAACAACTACTTTCACTGATTCATCTGAAATTCTCAGTACTATTCGACTGCTCCAATAGTAATACAGTAACTCCTGTCACTTGAATGCGCTGTCATCCATCATTGTGGTTTCTGTCAGCTGTCTATGAGTCGTCATCTTTCTACAGCTCAGTCAATGTGATGAATCTTCCACTGCACAGAGAACAGCCAGAAAAGCATGCAACCAGGTGCAGTAGAAAACTTGGTACTTTTGGCATACTGCATTTCACACACCTATGTACTGGGACATACTGAACAGTCTGGCCTATAACTGTTTAACACTTAAATAATATGTCCATCACAAGCTCTCAAAGCCCAACGTGACATCTTCAAATTGCTTAATTTGCCAACCAACAGTCCTTAATTACAGAATTTAGTATTGTAGAAAATAAAGCCAATATTCACATTTAACGAGCTAGAAACAGTGATTTAGGGGGGATTTTTGCTTTAAAAAGAAATTAAAGATGAACTATTAGTAGTGTTAGCCCGGTCAGTATGTACTAGTAATACAGAGATATGAATCAGGGAATTTCCTTTAATACTATAATCTGAGCAATCATGTCAAATACAGGAAATCGATGCAAAGCAACATTTGCATCCCAATTAGGATGTTTATTCTCTGTTGAAATAACCTGAATCTGTTTGAGTTTGTTTGTATTTTTATGATCCTTACCATAAACCTGTGTATATTTTTGCCTTTATCGTTACCTTATGGATATTTGACATTTTATGTCTGCAACTGCTGCACAACAATTTCCAGTTCCATCTTATCGGCGACAATGTGTTTAACATGTGGTTAGGTTTCAGCACAAAAATTTGTGGTTTGCAGAAACATACAATGCCACCATTTTCTTCTGGCTTCTGGGTTGCATTTTATCCATTACTGGACTCCAACTTTGTTGCTTGTGACCCTTTAACAGGATGAGCTTTGACAGTTTAGGAAACACACACACATTTGCTTTATTGATGAGAGTTTGATGAGAAGATCGATACCTGTCCGTACGCGAGCCTGGCTTATTGAAACAGTTAACCTGGTTCATAATAACAATCTGCCAGAGAGTACCTCTGTATCTCACTACATGATCTTTTTAGTTTGTTCAAAAATTTGTGTAAAAACCACAAGCTGTGGTTTACAAGAGTTATATGTCAGTTCCTTGGTTGAGAGCAGTTACTTCTTGGAGTCACAGTGAGACTGAAACAACACTGGTGGAGATTTTCAAAATAAAGTGAATGAGTGGATTTCCCAAAATGTCAAACCACAGGTTTGCATATGTCGAGCTGTTAAACCAAAGAGTGACGTTGCCATCTCAGATTGTGTTTTCGAGGCCTGAAGAAGTCAAATTGTGTCCCAGCTGCAAACAGTGATAAGAAAGTCTCTAACCTGAGGAATAGTTAAAAATATTCAGATGTGATGATGTGTAACAGTTGTCAGTGCTCAGAGCCCTTGTTGGAGTTTTTAGACATGTCAAAGTGAAAGCTAAGACAAACGAGAGAACAAGGAAAGCTTATTATACAGTAGGAGAGTCGGGGTGTAAAATGCTGTCTGGCCTGTTCCCGCTGAAACAAGGTCTCTCTCTAGAAGCTGTGCTGGTCCTTGAGGAAACAAGGAGGCACTCATATACGCTCTGATTTGCATATTAGAGCAGCCTGTTGACAACGTGCCTGAACGGGCGTGCCCGGCTGGGAAAGGCAAAAAGGACAGACGGGTGTGTACACTGCGTAAACTCTGTGTGTGTGTGTGTGTGTGTGTGTGAGGGAAAATTGCAATTCTCAATGTATTTAATAAAGTGGGAGAGGCCATGGCGCACATGCTGCCCCTTTCTGCCAACCACATTAAGGATAAATGTTGGGTGAAGCTGATATTGTGTTTGCTTATTGCCGTCTGTGAAATAACAGTCATTTATCTGGAATGATCCCTCTGGCGATGCACAATGCAAATACAGAAAGAGCCAGCAGCGAGCACGAACTGTAGCTCCTGATAAGCTGGCACCAGTTTGTCACAGAAATTAGTCATCTGCGATCTCTGAAAGGCTTTTTACATTTAGTGTTACTAGGTGTGCTAGCGGCAACGTGAGGCTGACATCTGTGGTTTTGAGTGAAATGTATGGATTGCCACGTACATTCATGTTCCTGAGATTGTAATAACTGTGGTGATCCCCTGATGTTTCATCTAGCTTATTGCTAGTTTGCAAATGTTAGCATGCTAACATGCTAAACACCGATAGCGAATGTGGTAAACAATCCATTCGTTCTGAACTGCACACTTTTTCTTTTTACTCTCAGTACGTACTGCAGCTGCCCTCACAAAGTATGTACTGTTGCATGATGTTTGCATACAATTGGGACATAATTCATCATAACATCTTGCCTTCAACTTTGACCCTCTTGGTCATATATCTGTAACAGCCGGTTGTGTGAAATTAAGTATAGAAGTATAAAGAAAAAGTATAAAATTTAGAATGCAGTAGATCTTAATGTTATCACTTAAAGAAATATTTTACCTCTGGAAAAATGGTCTTTTCGTAAAACTAGGCTGTCTGTGTGGTAGAAAGACTCCAATACTTTTGAAACTGGTGATTCATGACCAGAGAAAACAGAAAAAAAGGACTGTTGTGTTCCCTTTTGCCCAAGAGGTAGAAAACCTACAACTACCAGAATGCACAGCACCACACCAGACCAATAAATGCTCCTGCTGGTAGGTAACATAATGCACACTTGCCCATCTGACACAATGGCGGCCGGCTGGTAACAAATTATCTCGTATTACAGTTAAACTTTAAGTTAAAATATGTTTCTAAAAACATTTAAGGTGAGAACAGTAACAGAATCTTGGTTTTTATTTTATCAGTGCTGCCTAGTTTAACTGTTTGATCTCAGCTTTTTCAGACTCTGTTTTCACTATGCAGGAAACAGTATTGTGCCCACTTCCTGTTAACAAACTCTCCACATTACAGCCAAACAGTGCACTAAAATATGTTTCTGAAAACACTTTGGGTGGGCAATAGGCAATGCAGTAACATAATCTTGGTTTATATTTGATCAGCACTGCCTAGTTATACCGTTTTTTTATCAGAGTTTTGTCTGTTTTGCAATGTATGTAGTTTTAACTTTTAAGTTACTGCTTACAATGTAGACTCTAACATGCTCTGAATACACTGTCAATGTTATTTTCATAGTTGTGTCTGTTTGTTGTTGTAATCTTTATTATTATTTTTTTCACTTAATTTTCCTATTTTTACTATTTGACTTGTCGACTGTCATCTGTCACTTGAATGCGCTGTCATCCATCATTGTGGTTTCTGTCAGCTGTCTATAAGCTGTCGTCTCTTTGCAGCTCAGATAATGACGAATCTTCCGCTGTACAGAGAACAGCCAGAAAAGCATGCTGGCTTGCATACTGCTAAATGCACTGTTGAATAAAATATTGGCCCCTGATTTTTTTTTTCACATCTTGCACAAAACTGTACAGCTGTCCTTTTTATTATATGTACATATTTTTATTGTATTTTCTCATAATTTTAATGTAGTTTTTCAATTCTACATGTTTCTTCACATTTGCAGTAGTTTGCCTTATTTATTTCTTCTTAAGATGTGATTATATGCGGCAAACACCAAGTAAAGTTCACCTTCTTGGAAAAAATTCTGATTCAGAAAGTTCACAGAAAGCTGCATCACCTCCTTAGTTTATATGATCTTTGTCAATAAACCTCCCACTAAAGTGTGTCTTCATGTACTATTTATAACTCAGATAAAAACTCAGATTCGCCTTTTTGCCTTTTACGCACTTCTGCTTTCAGCCGCATGTTACTTCAATTACAAGGGAGCTGATCTCCAACACAACAAAGAGTGAATCATTGGTAACTTGAGGTGAAACTACGTGTCTGAAGACTTTCACTGGTAATCTTTAAAGAGACTTCCCTCTCAGTGTGACCCCCCCCCCACCCCCCAAAAAAAACCACACTAAAGGTAAAATAAATAGTTGGTTCATGTAGCTGCAGTGGGACAGATCTTTATAATAACTACAACTTAAATACATAAATAGAAGAAAAACCTTTAAGCTTTTCTTAACTAAACAAAGTGTCAAAAGGCTTTACTCATCCATTGTTATGTCTCTACCTGTCCTCCCGCAGTAAGCTGGGGTTGAAAAGTTGAAAACAGGTTTTTATTGCGACTAACGATTATTTTCACTATCGACTGAACTGCAGATTATTTTCTTTATCGACTGGTTGCTCAGTCTATAATAACCAAGAATATTCTGAAAAATAACACAGATTATAGTTTATGTTTATTTATATAGGCTATATAAAAATGTCCTAAAGTCTGAGGTGACAGTATCAAATGTTGACCAACAGTCCAAAACCCAAAGATATTCAGTGTTCAATCACATTAGGGTAGTACCTAATCATTTTCATTACTGACTAATTTGTTGATTATTTTCTAAATTAACTGATTAATTGTTTTGTCTTTGAAATGAAAATGTTTCTTCATGTCTTCAAATGTCTTGTTTTGTCTGGCCAGAAGTCCAAAACTCAAAGATATTCAATTTACTGTCACATGTGACAAAGAAAAGCAGCAAATAAAAGCATTTTTGCTGGAAAAAATGACTAAAATTGTTATTCAGAATTCAAATTATCAGCCAATTAATTTTCTGTTAATCAACAAGCTGATTTATTGACTAATCGTTCCTGCTCTAATCTATGTAAAACAGATAAAAGCAGCAAACTGTCACATTTGAGAAGCTATCACCACTTAAAGTTTGGGTAGGCCGTTTAATTTAAGTGTCACTGGGAGAAATCCCATAATAAACTTTGAGCATTTTGTAATTTAAGTGGTCTGACAGAACTCTTTGACCAATCCCAGGTCATTTTAGAAAGAGGGCGTTCCTACTGTCTGTTCTACAAATGCAGATGTAAACAGTAAAGAGTTTCAGAGATGGAGAGAAAATGTTGCTAATAGTTTAGCCTTCTGCTAACTGGAGCTAAAGGCTTGTGGCTGCTGCTAATTCAGGTTCAAATGTATGTGAGGCTAGCTAGCTAAAGCCTTGAATCACAGTGCATCTTCCAGTAAGCAACCACGGAAATCTGAATCCAGCCACGACAAACCACAGCTGCAGGAAACTGAACAGCCAGGACTTCCCACCGCATCAGCAAACTCTTTATTGCTGTTGTTACACAGATTACCCCAGCAATGAGGTTTGCGTTGGCCGAAATCAAGCCCACTGTCCTTCTGGTAACGTAGTAAAGAGGTCCTCAGCTGCGGGGAGCGAGGCGGAGGGACCAGTGGGTGCACTAGCTAGCTTGTTCTTATTTGTGGTCTGATAAACAGAGAGAGCAAGGCAAGGAGAGAATGAGTGAAGGTGCTGTGTGCAACTCTACAATAAAATGAGATTAAATAAATCAGTTTTCAATAAACCTGCCTGCCCCAGCCTTAATTTTGGGCTGTTTTTTTTAATAGATTAACAAAATAGCTGCAAATTAATTTTCTAATCGATCACTTAAGCTGTAGTTTCCTACCTCATGGCCACGTTACTCCCATCTATAACAATGGGTCTCAGAGCGTCTTCATCCTCACTGCTCTCCTCTCTGCTCTGAAAAGATGGTGCAGTCACAGGCAGCTGCATGGTTGGCCCCAGAGCCTGGAGGTCCCCTCTGGGCACAAGCACCGACATTGTGGTGACCGGCCCCTGCTCAGCCCCCCGACCGCCCTCCCGACTGGCCCGGATCATAACCAGCTCCCCCAGTAGTTTATCTGTGTCCATGTTGGGGCCGAACTTCTGCTGAACGGCCTGAACCTGAGCCGTGGAGTACCCGAGCTTGTGGCAGAAGTCCAGCTGGGCATCCAGGTGCTGGGGGTCAGATTCACTAGGGTACATTCTCTCACAGGAAGGGTGGGAGGAGTCTGGAGCCGCAGGGAGAAGTGAAGGGAAGATCCATGCAGGAGTGTCAGAGTCTGGGAGGCGTAGAGGGGTGGTGCTGGGGTCTTTACTCCACGGGTGAACAGGTGTGTAGAGAGCAACACCAGCATTCATATCTTCAGCTTCAAGTCACTCATCTTTAACCTGTTTGGAAAAGCACATCATAAAGGACTTAGTATTTCTATTTCGTGCTACTTTATACTTTTCCTCCAGTACAGTTTGGGAGACAATGTTGTGCTTCTTACTCCAATATATTTATATGATAACTGTAGTTACTTTGCAAATTCACATTATTGAAACAAAATATAAATCAACTAATAAATTATGAAGAATAATTGTGGTTTAACTATTTAACTATGATTTTGAATGCAGGACTTTTACTTGTAATAGAGTACCTCTGCATTGTAGTATTGTTACGTTTACTTTGGCTCAGTAAAAGACCGTAACACTTCCTCCACTCGTGATCAGTCTGTAATCCTAAAACACAAAATATTTTCTTATAGCTCTGCATTCAGTGTGCTGAAAATGTTTTATTTAGAGCGGAAACAACTGGTGGATTAATCAACGAGTCTGTTGACAGAAAATTAATCTGCAACTTTTTTAATTATCAATATGATCATTTTTCAAACTAGCTTCTCAAATGGGAGGAATTGCTGCTTTTCTTTGTCTTACAGGACAGTAAACAGAATGTTTGGGTTTTGGAGACTTTCTGTTGGACAAAACAAAGACGCCCTGTGGGCTACGGCAAATTATAACAAGCATTTTTTCTTTCTTTTTTTTTTTTTTTTTTACATTTTTTGGACATATTATAAACAAAGCTGTGAGTCACTTAATTTAAAAAATAAAATAAAATCAACAGAAAAAAACACTAATTAATTTGATTACTTTTTTCTCAAAATTTCTTTGCTACTTCACTATTTTGTGTCTAACTTTTTTCCCTTAGACCTTTATGCCTTTTATTTTGTCCTAAATCAGATTATTAGCCCACTCATTTCTACGCTCAGTTATTTATTTGTCACACGAACAAGTACATTGATTGCCATTGATAAACGTGGGTCTCACACACCCTCCAACACTGCACTTAAAATATATGTATAAAATAATAACAATAATAGCAATAATAATAAAAACACACAAGCAGAAACAAAATGCATATGTAGATAAGGATATAAAGGAGTATATGTTAAAATAAAGGATAAAAAGTGATATAAATCAGTAGTTGCATGAATAGGCAGGATGCTACATGAATGTATAGCCTATGTTATAGAGTGTAAATAAATTGCAGCTGCAATAAAGGATTATTTTTTATTTTTTATTAAGTTGCAGAGCCTTTTTCATTTATAGAATTATTTGTGCTCATTATTAGGTCTATAAAATGACAGAAAATAATATTAATATATTTAAAAACATAGTTTACTTTAAATGTCTTCTTTTGGCCAATCAACAGTCAAATTCAAAAAATAATTTCAAACGGAAAAGTAACAAATTGTCACATTTAAGGGTCTGAAACAAGTTTTTGCGTTAGAAATGTCTGAAATGATTTATAGATTATCAGTCTAGCTGCAGGTTATCATACATCTACTACATGTATCCTGACTACTATTACTTTACCTCACCATCATTATGCCATCTGACAAAAGGTTACAGAGATACAGGCTGAAAGGAGCAGTGAGAGGAGAAATAAGCAGACCCTTGTGTCATCCTCTCACTCTCTAAATGAACACAACAGAGAAACATGTAGTCGTGGTCTGTTGTCAACACAGGGCGACAGTCCAACTATCGCACAACTTAGTTTAACAAGTCGCTGCGTCTGTTTCCGCCTCAACTTCAAACTTAACTCAAGAGATAAAAACTTACCTTAAAAACCCCAGACGGGCTGTTGGACGTGTCTTTCTGCTGAAGGGTCTGTCACTGCTGAGGAAATGTGGCGAAGAGACGCTTGTTCTCTCAACTGTCAGCTGGTAACAAGGAAGTTGGGTTTTTCCTTCTCTTGACATCAGCAGTGAGGCGACCAACGTGGAGGACTGGGCGAGTCACATGTGCCGCGAGACAGCGGTAATAATGTAATATCTGACTCCCTCTGTGTTACCCAGCTCACTGCTGTCAATTACACACGTGTACATGAGGAAAAATAAGTACATAAATACGTGTAAAAGCGGTGTTAGAAAAGTATCTTCTACTTCTAACCACAGTGTTGAAATACTCTGCTGCAAGTAACTAAGTATTCAAGTTAAAACTTTAAGTACCAAAAGTACTGTGTAACACAAAAAGTAAGGAAATTGTGTTTGGTAGATTATTTCTTTGTTGTAATAATGCTTCTTGGCAATACATTTTATACCGTTGAAAAGCCTGTTTATTTCCCTTTTGAATGGTGCCACATTTGTAAGGAACATGCATTTGTGGGATGAGCAGCAGAGCTGAGTATGTGGGTTGTGCCCATGAAAAAATTGCCAAGTCTTCTCTGCCAATGCCAGACAGCTTTCTTTTTTTGCTGTTGCTATTGACTTGTTTGGAGCGTCTGGTACCCCCCAGATGCTAACCCTGGAGTTTCAGAAATGGCTGGCGTGGCGTACGGGAACATCTGCACTGAGTATGGGCTGGAAGTCCAAGACACCTCCTGAGGTGGTGGAGAATGACCGAGCTAAGATCCAGTGGGACCTCCAGATCCAGACTGACAAACCGATGATGGCTAGCCAAGCAGATATCGTTTTGATATCTATCGTGGTGATAGATGTAGCAATCCCGAGCGAGAGCAACATCAGGAAGAAGGAACATGAGAAGCTGGAAAAATACCAAGGGCTGCTGAAGTATCTAGAAAAGATGTGGGGAGTGAAGGCAACAGTGGTACCAGTGGTAAGCAGAGATTCCAGGTATAACATCTGTGGTCTCTGTCCAGAAGAGCGCAGTCCTAGGAACAGCTAATATACTGCGCAGAACCCTAGTATAAAGTATAAAGTGGCATAAAATGGAAATACAAAGTATTAGCTTTAGAATATATTTAAAGAACCAAAAGCACTCATTATATACAAAATGTCTCAGTTCAGAATAACGTCTGTTATAGTATTGGATAATAACTCTTTGTATTGGAAGTAACAGTTCCCCAAGTACTGCACTTATACATTAATAAATTTACTTTATACTTCTACTTTACATATCAGAGGAAAATATACATTTATTGGACACTTAAAGTTAATTGTTCTCTATAATATCATATATGATATGATGCTATATTATACTGTGAATCTAAAATCCACATTTAGGAACATAAAAATGCTCTGTATTCAGTCGAAACTGTTAATCAACAGTAAAGTGATGTATATATGACTGCATCAATAATTAGCAGTGATGGAAGACGCACCGAAGATTTACTTAAAATTAAAAATAGAAATACTGTAAAATACTCCATTACAAGTAAAAGTCCTTTCAGATTGAATTCAGAATGTCACTGTTCTGCACAATGCACTTAAAGCATCAAAAATTAAAGTACTCATTGTGCAGAATGGCTCCTCTCAAGTTGTTATATTATTAGGCTACAGAATATTACATTGTTCTGTTTTTTATTTCTATTTCTATTATTTCTATTACAGACATGGCATGCATTTGCTTTAGGTATGTTAAATCACTCAACATACATTTACATAGTATGGAGGACTACATGAAAAATAATTGAGAAAAAAGAAAATACAACAAGTACGACGAGTACGAGTACAAAAATAGTTTGAGTCCCACAACTGATGTCAGTATTTTCAGAGAAAAAAACATAAGAAAGTTAAGATTCTGAGGAAAGACATATCTGAGATTTAAGTCATAATTCTGAAAATAAAGTTGCTGTTTTTTATATTACTGTACACTGAATAATCTAATTGAAGTTCAAATTAAACAATTATACATTTTTACCTTTTCTGTCTTTTAACTCATATTTTTTCTTACAGCCCAACCTTGCTTCCCACAGCTGTACACAATGTATTCAAGTTTACATATGTCGTGATTTATTTGGTTATGTAGTCAATTTAGTGATCAGAAAAATACCAAGCACAATTAAACTCATTCAAAAGAAAGCACATCATACAAATCCAATGAGACACGCTGAGACAAATGTGATGTCACTGAGGAATGTTTTTAGTGTGGCAATGAAAAGATTGACATCATCATGGTTATGCACTTGGCTGCAATTACATCACTTTACAGGAATGCTAAAATCATCAATGGCCACGTGTGAGTGACAAGCAAAATATGAAGTAGTATCTATGAATTGTACACTGCCCTAAAACTTTTGTTAAATTTTCCTCTTTTATAAAATATTACAAGTGTAAATGTGTGTCTTTTTAAATGATTTTTTCTTGTTGCAGTCAGGATTTATTTACAACTACCTTTAAACACCACTATTTAAAGGTAGGTTTTGCAAAGACCTATTCCTGATATATTTTTTCTAACAATTCATGTGAATATTAGATAATGTTAGTTAATTACATGACACAACATAAGACTTACACTTCATTTAATTTTCAGAACAAAATAATTCCACACTTTTCCATTCCAGAATTTTAGAGGATAATTTAATTAGCCTTAGCAATGCATGTCTTACTTGATTGACCCTCTGTAGCATTTACGTTTTCTCCACTGTGGTGCCAGCTTGTGCTCTATTTTAAGAGGAATTTTAGGCAACACTGCTGGATGTGACTCATGTAGTGTTGCGGGCAGAGTGGCTGGTGTATTTATCAGCTGGGGTTGGTGCTCTGCTGACTCAGGTTTATGTGAGTGTTCATCTTTAATTGTGCTGTCTGACTCAGGTGATACTTTAAGGTCAATCTCAGATGTTGGTGATTCAGCATTAGGCCCTACTGCAGGCGAAGTGTGTAAATAAGGTGGTGGCTCTGAAACTTGTCCAGGTGTTGGTGATTCTGTTGCAGGCATTGGTTCAGATGTTGGTTCTAAATCCTGTCCAGATGTTGGTGATTCTGTTACAGGCTCTGGTTCAGGTGTAGGTTCAGCATCATGCCCAGATGATGGTGATTCTGTTGCAGGCACTGATTCAGGTGTAGTTTCTGAATCTTGCCCAGATGTTGGTGGCTCTGTTGCTGGCACTGGTTCAGATGTAGGTTCAGAATCCTGTCCAGATGTTGGTGACTCTGTTACAGGCTCTGGTTCAGATGTAGGTTCAGAATCCTGCCCAGATGTTGGTGATTCTGTTACAGGTTCTGGTTCAGATGTTGGTTCTGAATCTTGTCCAGATGTTGGTGATTCTGTTGCTGGTGCTGGTTCAGATGTTGCTTCTGAATCTTGCCCAGATGTTGGTGATTCCGTTGCAGGCTCTGGTTCAGATGAAGGTTCAGAATCCTGCCCAGATGTTGGTGATTCTGTTGCAGGCTCTGGTTCAGGTGTGGTCTCTGAATCCTGTCCAGATGTTGGTGATTCTGTTACAGGCTCTGGTTCAGATGTTGCTTCTGAATCTTGTCCAGATGTTGCTGATTCTGTTGCTGGTGCTAGTTCAGATGTTGCTTCTGAATCCTGCCCAGATGTTGGTGATTCCGTTGCAGGCTCTGGTTCAGATAAAGGTTCAGAATCCTGCCCAGATGTTGGTGATTCTGCTACAGGCTCTGGTACAGATGTAGGTTCAGAATCCTGCCCAGATGTTGGTAATTCTGTTTCAGGCACAGGTTCAGGTGTAGTTTCTGAATCTTGCCCAGATGTTGGTGGCTCTGTTGCTGGTGCTGGTTCAGATGTAGGTTCAGAATCCTGTCCAAATGTTGGTGATTCTGTTGCTGGCGCTGGTTCAGATGTTGCTTCTGAATCTTGTCCAGATGTTGGTGATTCTGTTGCTGGTGCTGGTTCAGATGTTGGTTCTGAATCTTGCCCAGATGTTGGTGATTCTGTTGCAGGCTCTGGTTCAGATGTAGGTTCTGAATCCTGCCCAGATGTTGGTGATTCTGTTACAGGTTCTGGTTCAGATGTAGGTTCTGAATCCTGCCCAGATGTTGGTGAATCTGTTGCAGGCTCTGGTTCAGATGTTGCTTCTGAATCTTGCCCAGATGTTGGTGATTCTGTTGCTGGTGCTGGTTCAGATGTAGGTTCTGAATCCTGTCCAGATGTTGGTGATTCTGTTGCAGGCTCTGGTTCAGATGTTGCTTCTGAATCTTGGCCAGATGTTGGTGATTCTGTTGCTGGCACTGGTTCAGGTGTTGGTTCTGAATCCAGCCCAGATGTTGGTGATTCTGTTGCTGGTGCTGGTTCAGATGTAGGTTCTGAATCTTGCCCAGATGTTGGTGAATCTGTTGCAGGCATTGGTTCAGGTGTGGTCTCTGAATCCTGCCCAGATGTTGGTGATTCTGTTGCAGGCTCTGGTTCAGATGTTGCTTCTGAATCTTGGCCAGATGTTGGTGATTCTGTTGCTGGCACTGGTTCAGGTGTTGGTTCTGAATCCAGCCCAGATGTTGGTGATTCTGTTGCTGGTGCTGGTTCAGATGTAGGTTCTGAATCTTGCCCAGATGTTGGTGAATCTGTTGCAGGCATTGGTTCAGGTGTGGTCTCTGAATCCTGCCCAGATGTTGGTGATTCTGTTGCTGGCACTGGTTCAGGTGTTGGTTCTGAATCCTGTCCAGATGTTGGTGATTCCGTTGCAGGCTCTGGTTCAGATGAAGGTTCAGAATTCTGCCCAGATGTTGGTGATTCTGTTACAGGCATTGGTTCAGATGTAGGTTCAGAATCCTGTCCAGATGTTGGTGATTCTGTTACAGGCTCTGGTTCAGATGTAGGTTCAGAATCCTGCCCAGATGATGGTGATTCTGTTGCTGGTGCTGGTTCAGATGTTGCTTCAGAATCCTGCCCAGATGTTGGTGGCTCTGTTGCAGGCTCTGGTTCAGGTGTGGTCTCTGAATCCTGTCCAGATGTTGGTGATTCTGTTACAGGCTCTGGTTCAGATGTTGCTTCAGAATCCTGCCCAGATGTTGGTGATTCTGTTACAG